GTTGTTATGTTGAAAAGATATGGCATAAATAATATCTTCTATGTGGTTTCCTTTGGCACAAATATTATATTATTCACTTTTTTGTTAAAGTTTCAGGTCTAGATTTTGATGTTTCTTTGCACATCCTGACTCACACTGTGCTCTTTCTAAAAGCAAATAATCATCTCAAAGACATTTTCTTTGATTTCTATCCCTGTTCACCCCCAGAGAGGTGTCATAGAGAATTAGCAACCGCCACCCAACCCACCCCACCCCCACATCCCAACCTCTCACACAGTCTGGGAAGAGGGCCAAAGCATCTGCTTGCTGGCTATCTGATCCTGATATCCCATCTCCCTTTTTTCTGCAACAACTAACACAAAAAGGAATATTTTCCTGTTAGCTCTGAAGCATATGGGTAGATATTAGAGTTTCAATTGTAAATTTAGATATCTGAAAAAGAATGAGGATAGAAGGTGCTGTCTTAATCTCTCAGCTCTGGATGGAGTGCCTTGGCAAATACAGGGAAAAAAAGTATTCCTAGTTTCATTGCAAACTAATGAGGAACCGTGGTGTTTAATCTTTCTCTCTTATAATTGCATGACCTGTGGTTGCATATAAATAGCCTCATTAGTATTTTATATGGTCATTGGACTTAATCCTTCCTTATCTTTTCTTCAAGACTTACTGAAGAGGATAGAAAGTTTCTAATTTTAGAGACAGTGCCATAATTTGTTACTATGGATCTTATCTGTTGCCCCAAAGACAGTTAGTTTAGAGGATTAAATTTGACGGTGAGGTTCAGCAGCATGGCAGGACTGGCTTTTACTGCTAAAAGAAGAATTTATCATGGCCATGCTTATCAATCAATCCCCATTCCTAAAATTCCTGAAGCTTATGGGGTATTTGTGAAGGAATGTAGAGGAAATAAATAAGGGGAAATGAAATGAAATTCAGTTAAGTTTCAACATGTTTATCATAGAAGTAAATCCTACTAGTAATAATATTATGTGAAAGTATAGATTATTTTACTGACGGTTACTACAAAAGTATATTGCCCTGTGTGTTTTCACCTCCTGCAATCACACCGGATTATAAAGGCAGTGAATCTCATCAAACTTGAAAGACCGTCAAAGCCTTCATACCTTTTGGAACACTCTGTTTCAGAGAGATAACAACAGTGACTATAACAACTATAGGAATCCAACAGGACTGCATTCTCACCATAAATGTTTAAATGACTAATGAAAAATATTAAACCCCCATAGTAATTCACTTTGCGATAAAACTCTCTCATCCCTTGATTTCAGAGAAAAGAGGGTCTCTTTAAAGGTCTCACAGCCAATGATGGAGTCAAGCTGCGATAGGTTGCCCGGCTCTCTATACAGGCATTCAAAACATGACCTGCCCTAGGGGAGGAAACCCTCTGAGTGCCAAATGTGTCTGACTGATGGATTATAATGTTTATTCTCTTCCTCTAACTATCTGATAAACAGGATTTAGAAAAAGGAGGAGAGGTGAGAATATCACATGCAAACACATGACTGTCTTTGCTCCTTTGGACAGACTGGAAACTTGTAAAGTCAACCAGATCATTAAAACGAAACATCTACTGCGTTCTGAGAGAGGTTAATCCCACAGTCTGGAATCTGACTTAAGTTTGGTTAGATCAGTGGTTCTCAAACTTTTTTTTTAAGCCAAAAAAAGGTTCAAGCCCCTGACTTCAGCAAAATTGGATTTCATTTTATTAATCATTAACATTGGTTATTGATATAAAACAAAAGATTCAGGTTAGACTACCCTTGCTTGCATCAGAGCCCTTTTATTCTTCCACATCAATCACATTCTTGCAACTTTAGATCTGCTCACGGTGGCCCAGCCCCCAGTTTAAGAACCTTGGGGGTTAGATAAATAGCATCAGAAAGCATTATGGGCCCAGCAGGTGCAGTTATATTACTGAGGGGAAAAAGACAAAATGCAAATGTGACCTTGTCAGCAATGAACTAATGGAAGATACGGAAATCAGGAGAAAATTGATGAAAAGTCTTGAAACAGGAATTATGTACTATGCATACAGTTTTGTGTGACTAATAAAAAGAGAGCTGTGTGCAATACATAGGTTAACTAATGGTGATAAATATTAAAATACATCAGATACACGTCTTCGCCCTTCTAATTATACATTTGTCACCTCTCTAGCACTGCTTTTCTGTCAGAATGATATAAATATCTTCTCAATTGTATGCTCAACCTGCGTTTAACACTTTAAACATAAAACAGGAGTACTACTAAAAAGATATACCTTACTAGTATGGTCACCCCAACATCATCACAGTTCTGGTAGACTTTTGCCCAGGAGTCCTGAATCATCACCCTCTCCTTGTCAGTCAGAGGGCTTGGTCGCTCCAGGAGGTCCACCTCTCCCTCTCCCTGCATCCTCTCCATTTGGGAACACAGTTGTGCAAAGCTGAGAACGTGCAGAAGTCGAGGCCGGTGAGAGTATCCCCTCCTTCAAAATAAAAACACTTTATTTATGTCTTTGAGAGCCAAAAATTCGGTTTCCTTTCCACTCTTTGCCCAGTGAGAATCTTTGGTCTTCACCTCTCTGTGTGAGTGTGAGTGAAGAACAGGCTGAAAAAAACACAAGAAACTCACGCACTGAATGAGGAGGAGCCTCTGTCCTCTCTTTTTTACGCTCTCCCTTCCCTCCCTCCCTCTCTTTCTTTTCCCCTCTACCCACCTCACCTTTGTAGGTGGCATTTGATGAAAACATGATGAGATAGGAAACAAATCCTTATTAAGAGAGTCAGGTGCAACGTGTGAGCATGGATGTGATGTAAGATTATGATGTTAAAATAAGATAAAGGAGCCCACTCTGACCTTTTACCTCCATCGTCACCATTTAAGACTATCCAAGAGATTAACCTGTGATGATATTGAGTTTCTCACAAAGCCCTGCCGACATAAATGTAAAAACACTTTGCTGGCTGAAAATTAAACAACATGACGTCCATCAGAAATAGGGCAGCCCATCTATTCATTTACAAACCTGTCCTTCTAACAAGATAAAGGTTATATCAGGTTATATCACTGTTTTCAGTCTATTTTTCATTACTTCACTTTTTTCATTACATGCACACACTTTCAAGAGACCTACACAGCTCTCACTGCACTTTTTCAAATGCATACATCTCCCACCTTTGTTAAGGCAGGGAGTTATCAGCAAGAAGCCACCTCCTGCTGGTGTTGGGACAGCTGAACACAAGAATGTTCCAATTCAAGTTCCATATGGGTTGGGTGAACAGGGCCAATTAGCCAGGAATCTGTGACCTGGCTGTGAAAGGAGGGGGGCATAGGAGCATTGGAAAGATATCAGATAACAGCAACTGAGATTAGGGGTTGTTTACTGCTTTACCTGAGAAGTACAATGTACATTAGGTGCCGAGAATGTACAAACCATGTTAAACATTGACAGAGTCCTTTACAGTATACCATTGACAATGAAGTTGGTGAAAAGTAGGCCTACTTAAGATAGACAGATCTCTTACTGTGTCTCTACAGCAGTACAGCAGAGTTATAGCCAGTTATTATACCAGCTGGTGACATTTTAAATAATATTAATACTTTGGTTAAAGGTATTATTCAAGTCCATCTCAGGCACAATTAAAAACAACAGAATCAGAGTTCATTGCACAGCTTTACGATTATCAAACAAACTGCTCAAGGATTAGATAGGTAGGGTCAGATTTGGTTGTAGTGGATCAGACAAACCATAGCTTGGTCAATGATTGTAGAGCTACATCTTGTGCTCTACTTGCTTCTACAGAGGAACCCAGATACATTTTGTAACGTTTCATGATTATTTCTGCTATCCAAACCCACACTGGAAAACTCAGACTCTAGCTCATATGAATAATGTTATACCTTTATAACCCACTCTCTTCAGAAAAAACATGATCTCATGATGTTACCTCCAAAGCATAGACTGTAAAGACATGTAACTTCTGCTCAACTCCAGGGCTAATGAGTAACGACATCTAGTGGACTGTTGGAGTAATACTGCTTTTCAGGTTTCAGAATCCGTTCTACGCATGCGCATAACTGCCGCCTGATCTGTACCACTCATTTTTACATTTCATAATAAAGTCCAGTAGAAAAAAATTGAATGATGAAAGGAACCACTGATTAAACGGTCAAACAGAAAGAAATTTTAGGTGAATGACATGTGGGCGGTTTATGTAAATTATTTATAGAATGTCATTTATTAACTAGCCTACCTATAAGAAAGCTGCTCTGCCAAAAACTGAAAGCAAACACCATGCATAGCTACAATTGCCTAACACAGTGGTTCTCAAAAAAACATTTTTTGTCACTTCAGAAGCCAAAAAAAGTTCATGTCCGCCAACCCCAACAAAAGTGGATTCAATTTTTATCAATCATTTAACAATTTTAGGCGATTGAAATAAACTACATTCAATTTAGCAAAATAGCCCTGCTAACATCAGACAACTTTTGTTTCTTTATGTCACCATATGAATCATATTCATGCTACTTTAGCTCTGCTCAACATCTAAGACCCCCTGAAGTAGCCCTCCCCAGGAGGGGCCTGCCCCCCAGTTTGAGAACCACTGGACATCAGATTGGCTGATTAATCCACCAGATTTTATCTCATCTAATCACACTTAAAAAAAACATTAATCCACGAAACTCCTGCGAAGATTTAGATGACAGTATATCAGGTTATAAACAAATGTCGTTATTTCACATAAACGCCATTTCTCAAGTTCATGCCTTTTTATATACAGTCTATGGTTAATGTTTATTATTCGGTGTTTTAGGGCAGCTAGTTCCATTCAGTTTTATCGCAACGGATGTATAGCACGTTATGTGTCATTATGATAGGACTTACAAGCTGTGTATTATTTTCAGCCCTGACCATAGACTGCATATAAGATCCTGACCGCACGCTCACTATCATTGCTCTCAGCCATATGTTCCGCAAAGCGTAGCCAGTAAGATTGACCAAAGCTGGATTCCGTAGTGTAGACAGTGTTTAGGCTTTAGTGCAAGCCTAAATGACAGATGTCAGCAATTTGTCCGAGAACAATAGGATAAATTGGTAAAATAAAGACAGTAATAACGGTTTGTTTTGTAGTTCTGCTGTAGCTAAGTTTATTTCGCACACTTAATAAGGTCATTTCGTGCAAGCACACCTAGCAGGTTAGTGTGTGCTAGGTAGCTAGCTTGCTTGCTTGTTAGCTAAAGACAACGTCACAAGAAGAAAATCAGAAACAAACGCAGTGATCGGTTGATAAAAAGGTGCCGTCTGGGAAATAAACCACCGAGAGTGCCAGAATGAATGTCGCTAAAAGTGGTTATCGCGTCTTTTCAGCAAACTCCTCCGTAGCATGCACAGAACTGGCCAAGAAGATAACAGAGTAAGCACAATGTTGCGTTTCTGTCATTGTTGAAGTTCACGTCTATGTTGTTCTCATATACGGGGCCAAGCACAAAGATGCATGCATAGAAAGCATATTAGACAGTCAATGACCAGCAACTATTTTTACCACTACGACAAATAATAATTGGTTATTATGTAACATAGGACATAAACATTTGTTTTGTGACTGCTATCAACACCACGGACACTGAGCACCGAGGAAAGCTTGTAGCTATTTGTGCCAACGAGAGTCTTTCTGTTATGAATGAATGACTGAATGAATGAGTGATGTGCTAAATGTCTCATATGGTTTGTGTGTTTGGAACAATCCTAGCTGTAATTTTGTGCTCTTGTTTCACAGACGGCTGGGAGTTGAACTGGGGAAGTCTGTGGTCTTTCAGGAGTCTAACAGAGGTGAGGAGAATATTATGGCTTTTTAGGTAAAAGTATTAATGTTACCAACAAAGGGGAATTTTAATTTTTGCTTTGGCTTATTCTAAATGAACATGTCTGACATTTCACTGGCTACCCTTCAAAACAATCTTTATGACATGACTCATTTTTATAAAGAAATGTTCTCCTGTGTTGGGTTAAAGTAAACAACCCAACGGCTGTTCAGCTGTGAATGAACCCCACACAACCAGTTTGAACCAGCATGAGCAACCCAACAGTGTGTTTACAGAAACAACCCATCACTTTGTGAGTGATTTTTGACATTATTGCCTAGGTTACAGCCCCCATCCTTTGCACAAGGACTGTTTGAGTCACACCGAACTTCTGCGCCGAACTGTTCACATCTTATGTTGACGAAATGGAGTTCATTAAAAGAAAGTTCATTTAAAAAGACAAATTCAGGATTTTGTTGGTGGATTTTATTAGGGCGCTGAGGCCATAAAATATGATGACAGACATTTGAAGCTTTGTTCGAAAAGCTCAACAGAAGCTTCGAATGTATAAACAGAAAGACATTTGGTACAGCCCTACAATTTATTAAACTAGTTGTCAGGACATATTATTAAGATGTGCTTAGTGGACACTGCATTATAAACAGCATGACTTGTAACATTTAATTAATTTACTTTAATTGTAGTTGTCAGATCACTTCACTATTTTGGGGATTTTGAAATTTAAAGGGGCAAACAGGCACTGTATTGGCTCACATGTGCCCATCCATCCCATAACCCTCCAAGGCAGAGCATAGCTTATTTGTTATGTTGAGATACCTGAGATTGTACCTTCCATATGCATAATAATAAAAAAATTCTATATATAGTTCCCTCAATATTGTATATCTACAGTACCGGAGGCTGCAGTTTCAGGACCCCCACAATCCTTGGCTGCAGTTCTAGGGCTGTAGTTCTTTTTTGACAGTGCCATCTAGTGGATTAGTGGTGGTACCACACAGCAACATGTAGGAGGTTAACCCTGTCTGCTAGCACATCAGCTGTGGGGTTAACCGGTCAACATGCATATAATCAATGACTTAGGTTAAGGCACACACCCTGTGATGGTTAGGGTAAGGGTAATTGGCTTTGTGGGGCTGTCAAAAGTAACATAGCTATCTAGCCAGCCAGCCAGCCAGCTAGCTGGCAGTATCACAGTAAACAAGGGTCCTACAAATGCTGTTCCAGTCCTAGGATTGCGGTCCTGAAAGTGCAGCCTCCGGTACTGCAGCTACATACTAAGTTTCCTGGTCCACCATGACCTTTTCATCCGTAGCTCTAAGCCAGCAGAGGGTAGAAAAGAGAGCATGCGTCATTTATATGGGGGTGATGCTGGTACTGCAGCCACTTTGCAATAGTGTCTTCCATGAAAACTGACTGACATGACTGAGGGAAATAAGTAATTTTATTTGCTATTTGAAGTGGGAGACTTCTAACTGTACATATGGAAAGATCACTTTCTCAAATACAGGGTGGAGGCTTTTAAGTAATCTTGCTAAGAGCCAGTGTTGGTTATTGTATCAGTCAACGTCAGTATTTAATGAGGAGTGGTGTGTGCACTGTGAAGGTTTACAGTGACCGAAAAGGTGGGGATTGTCATTAAAATAAGAAAGCAATGAAATTAAGATGCAGCTTTGCTAAGTTTGCTGATTGTGTCCACATATTTTCCTTCACAATAGAAACTAGAGTTGATGTGAAGGAGTCAGTTCGTGGACAAACTATCTTCATCATCCAGACTATACCACGGTGAGTAAAAAAAGGCATTTGTCATTTGCATTTCAACAGGAATTAAAATAACAGTATAATGAGTGAGTTCAGTGGAAATTCACCACCTGCAGGTAAGCTGTTGTTACACACTTTTTTAATATTATCACTAACTAAAGTGTACATGTCCTTTTTTATTCTCTTTTTTTAATGCAAAAAGAGATGTCAACACAGCCATCATGGAGCTTCTGGTTATGGCCTACGCCCTCAAGACGTCTTGTGCAAAGAACATCATTGGAGTCATCCCTTACTTTCCATACAGCAAACAGTGCAAGATGAGAAAGAGGGGCTCGATAGTGAGCAAGTTGTTAGCTTCAATGTTAGCAAAAGCAGGTAAATAGTACAAAATTAATTTCACACTGTGTTTAACTTAACTGATTTGTTAAGTCCCTTTATCCGTCAATTGTTCAGTGTTAAGTGCATGCTACTTATCTGTCTTTTAACCCAAAAGGATTAACACACATCATCACCATGGACCTGCATCAGAAGGAGATCCAGGGCTTCTTCAGCTTTCCAGTGGACAACTTGCGTGCCTCCCCTTTCTTAATTCAGTACATCCAAGAAGAGGTGATAGTTGCATTTGAATGTCTGCTATATGTGTTTTTAGTAAAAGTGCTAGTAACCCCACAAATCCAAAAATCTCAATCTGATAGACACGTTGACATCTGTTTTCCTTCATCCTGTCAGATTCCTGATTACAGAAATGCCATCATTGTGGCAAAGTCTCCATCAGCAGCTAAGAGGTAACTGATGGATAAAAAAACAACTCTGCTAGTCTTGAAAGAAATACATTATGCCAGGACTATTCTATCATACAAATGCTTTGATAAAGCAGTGGCAAGAGTCAGTGCAGACATAAGAGAAGAGGTGGAGCTTTCAGGCAGTTGGTACTGCAACAAAGCCACTTAAAACAGTCATATCTTAGTCATATATAATAGTCTGCAATTCTTTCCCAATTAATTTATTTGGGTCTTTGAACAGATGGAAATATCTCATAATACTGGTTGGTGAAAGTAGCTTATATATGACAGCTGTTGTTATTAACATCTGCATGCCCTGCTTTTACAGAGCCTTTAAAAACACAAGTACATCTGAAAAATAGTTTTCAAATTTCAAAGTTTATTTTTTGTGACTTTTATTATCTCAGAGAGAAGTTTTTTTTTTCTTGTAAATTTACCACTTTAATCTCAGACACTGAGTTTTTACCCCTCTGAATACTACCCCCTCCCTTTGCTCCGTATTTGTTTTTGGTTTTTTTTTACCTACAATGGCCCTAATACATGGTTGTACATTTGCAATGTATGTGACTAAATATGGGTGCACAGGAAAATGTAAATGATAAAGGCTCTTTCTTTTTTTTTCTCCTTTATTTTCTAGGGCTCAGTCCTACGCAGAACGCCTGCGTTTGGGTCTAGCTGTTATTCACGGCGAGGCTCAGTGTTCAGAGTCTGACATGGCTGATGGAAGACACTCCCCACCATGTGTACGTAACACCACAGGACACACAGGGCTGGAGCTTCCTTGTAAGAACACCCGTTTTTGTTGTGCTGTGTTGATGTTTTTCAGGTTTTCTTTGCAGATTTGTAGGTCCAATGTTTCTGTCAGTTGGATTATTATTTGTCACACCATGGTCAGTTTCAGCAAGACATTTCCTATTATTTCTGCTAGTTTAAGTACTTGCCTACATTCATAATATAAATCCTGCCAACAACCTAATACAGCTCTTATTTGTGTTGACCTGTTTCGAGCTCATGATTCTGCTGTTTCTCACTCATACCATCAACCATTCTCCAGGAGATAGATTTTTGTGTTACTGCATGTTTTAATTCCACAGATACACTACTTCTGTTCATGTGCATCCTCTGCAAGCTGTAACTCCTAATGTACAAAGAGTCACGTGCTTAACAAACATAGTCATACTCCCTGCCTGTTCCTTGATTAGAGAATAATTATTGTTTGTGAAAAATCCTATGTGACTCTGGCATATAGTTTTCAACAGTGTTAATTCCTGGTAAGGGCGTTTCAAAGGTTCACTCTGAGAAAATATCAAATGATTGTGTCATTGGCAAATGACTCCTATTTGCGTCCAGTATTCACTTTATGATTTAGTAAAAATATTTATATTATTGTGTTTCTACTCTCACCCTTGACTTAAAAAATCCTCCATTGGACAAGAACTCAAACGGCTTCAGCTGTGAGAAGACTTGGTTTTAAATTTTAACACAATGAGTCTGATTTGTTGATGTGAAATTTAAAAATTTCTGTCAACTTGGCGAGAGGATTTTCCAAGTCTTGGCATCATGTGTGTCATGTCAAATATTTGTGCATTTGTGTTAACGTGGTGTTTATTTGTTGGTAATAGCAGGCAAACAACAAGCTCCGTTCCCTGGCATAGAGCTCCCAAGTACGACCGTAAAAACATAACTTACATCTGACTATAAAATGATTCCTCTTCAAATAGCTCCTCGATTCGTGCATGTGTAGATAAAGGGTTTGTGTTGCATCTTGTGAAAATACAGTCTGGATTCGGGGGGGCGGTGGAGTTGGACAATGGGCAAACTGATTGTTAGTGCACAAACAATCTGCATTGACAAAAACCTTTTCAGGCCAATCAGCTGCATTGTGCTCTATACTATATGATATTTGCATGGCATGTTTGACTTTGAAAAAGCAGCTCTAGTGTTTAATGCACCTTTCTAAGATTCCAGACAGCTAGTATTACAAGATGGCCAAACCTTTGTTTTGATGTGTTTCTTATTTAATTTTGAAATTCATACATCAAACCCAGAACCATGGCATTTTTTCCCACATTTTATTTCTTCCTTAAATATCTGGACTCATCTTGCCAATCTACACATGGTGCACCCATATTAAACCCGCTCTTAGAAACCTGATGAACATTTGGTCATAAGTGCATGCGACGATGAGAGTATAGCATGCTTTTGAAAGATAACATGTAATGATGGGAAGAAACATTACAAATGGAATGGTTGGCATGTTTAGGCATTAAATTCAAACAACCCAAATCAAAGTTTTAGTTTGCTACTTAAGTGATAAAACCATGCTTAAAAGCAGAACTTCTTTTATCAACAATAATCTTTAGTGTAGTATTACGCTTTTATCTCTACCCTTTAAGCTAATCATCATCATCATGATTATTGGGTTTTATTGACAACTTTCATCATTAATACATTTCTAATTAATGTCTGACCCAACATTTCACATGTAGCTTGTTGCAGTACCTCAGCAAGCTGTGAAAACAACACATTTTTGAGAAGTGTGTGTGTCCTGCTAACAACATGGCTTTTGCTGTTTCTGGTTGATAGTGATAAAAGTCTGAATGCGACTCTGCCAGGTTTTCTGATGCTGTGGGACTTACGGTATTCAGCAAAGTGTTCTGCAAGGCATGCTCCATCTTTCTTTGCTTCTTTATATTTTTTCCCTCACAATCGGCTTGGCTAGCCGATTGTTCACCAGTTGATTGTTTCTTTATACCCTTTGAATGACTACATTTACATGCACAACAATACCTAAAATGCAGCTGTGTTTTTTCTTAAAATAATTATGTCAGACAATGTATTTAATGGGTAGTCATTTAAAAACGCTACATGGAATCTAATCCCAGTCTAATTTTAATGCTTAATAACACATCATTCACACCACGCACTACACATTTAACACATTATGTCTGACACAAGGTAGCACACTTTCATGTTGCCTTTAACATGTTTTCATGTTTCTCTGTAACCTTTTGTTGTAACAGTGATGGACAACAGCCTACCTCAGAAGTACACACAGTGACAAATGAAATCGCTTAGATGTGAATAATTAAATTATGTATTATTTGCTGTGTGATAAAGGTTTGAAAAATGCAGCTGTTGCATCTCCTCCGAGATGTATTCTGATTATTGTGCGCATGTAAAAGTAGTCGCTGGCAGCAGTGATGTTCGACTGAGGAATGACCCCAGAACATTGGCAAGTGTGAATGAAGGAACCCTCATCAGTGCTTGTCAGCCACTGTTGTCCTGTGTGAAATAAGATTGTGTGGTGCATATTGGTTCATATGCAGACTGCTGCTGTATGCCTGCCACAGCCTGGGCCTGAGGTTGTGTCCAGGCAGTTGTGCGTTGCCTTCTGATTGGGTATCCTGGGCAGAAAACCCTAGGAATTTGATTTTGCATGGCATGTGCTGTACTAAGTTTGGTGTTTCAGTTTAATCTCATAGGTAGGGGTAGGTGGTGTACAATGGGGGGGAAAATCTGACTTTTAATCACCATGTCAAATTTAACACTGCATTTTATTACTCAATTTCTACACATCATCCAATAACAACCCCATAATTCTGGTTGCAGATTTGTCTAAAAAACATTTTCTCAACCCATTTTGCCCAATCTACTGAGATTTGTTTTTGATTAGGTCAAATGCAGTGCACATAACCACCTCGAAGTGCCCTGTCATGTAACCAGTTCCACTTTCCTTTGCAGTAATGATGGCCAAGGAGAAACCTCCCATCACTGTAGTCGGAGACGTGGGAGGGAGAATAGCCATTATTGTGGTATGATGCTCTGGATGCTCTTTCTGCAGCCTATATAGCTGCTATTGATAATTACTCTTTCATGGCTCTCATTTACAGCGTGTCAAGTTTATTTATATAGCACATTTCATATGACAAGCGTCTAATCAGTGTGTTTAAATAAAAAGGTCATAAATATGTAAAACCACAAGATAAGAAGGTATTGCAATAAAAAGGAATAAGATCTTATTAAGAAATTATTATTATTATTATTATTATTAAAAAGGTAATAATACTGATTCTAAAATAAGTTGTCAGTTACTTAATACTCTGGCTGGTTTCGAAGCATTTCAAGTTGTCTGCAATTTTAAGTGTTAAATAATTTACTGTACTACCCATGTAAATGCCTCATGGTTTTAAAAATATAACTGGCAAATGTGAACTGAAGTATTCATGCTTTCTGAGTTACATGTTCACTCCTTAAAAGTGAAACCTTTTCAGTCTTATGTGTTAAAAGTGTAATTCATGAGCAATAAAACAAACCGATGCTTCGTTCAGTGAACAGAGAGGATTTGCTGCTACAGCCTAATTACTTATACAGCCTGGTATAGCCAGTAGCTCATGGTGGCTAATGTTGGCTAACATAGGCACACTTTAGATGGATATTCCTGTGTAACAGACATTATTGACTCAATTCACTGACTTGTTGTTTTGGCATTATTTTTTATCCCATAATTCACATTTGTGTTCATATGTCCATCCTGCCATTATCCTAAGCTCCTGAATTATACTGTAAGGGCAGCCAACACATTAGCTACACCGTGACAGAGAAATTAATTATTATTAAGAGAAGGAGAGGGGGTGTAATTGTTACAGATTGTATTTTTATTTTCTTCTTCCAGGATGACATTATAGATGATGTAGGAGACTTTGTTGCAGCTGCAGAGATCCTGAAAGAAAGAGGAGCCTATAAAATCTACATCATGGCCACACACGGCCTACTGTCTGCTGATGCTCCACGCCTCATAGAGGAATCTGCCATTGATGAGGTGAGGACACCTAAACTTGTTGTTTTCATGAATGCCGGTCTCTTCTCGTATTTCAGTTTGGTCAGTAAAACTAGGCATTGTTGAGTAGGAATGAATGTCAAACCTATCAAATATCAATCTGCTGAAGGAGAAGTAACAAGGGAAGACCTGCCAAATTGAAGAACTTATTTGAAGCCAGCATGAAACAAGTTTTATTCATTAGTTCTCATACATTCTTTATAAGCAAAATGTAAAGGAGAGTACTTCCTCCTAATGGAAGGTTTTTTAGCTGAATTTCTATGGCATCAAAGTTGTAACTGGAACAAAAAAAGGATCATTATATCCAGCGAGTTGCATTTCTGTAAACTGTTGGTTTCAATTTTCATTTCCTCATTGCTTTTCAGGGTTCAGAAAACAATGGAAACAGTCTAGTCTATATATAGTTTTATTGTAGAACATTTGTAAGTTTATACTATTTGTTTTATTTTGAACATATTAACATATTTCTTGCAACCCCAGTTTGTTTCTGATACGTACCGGGGCAGGCATTGGGTGGCTTAATTTAGCTCTTCTCTGCCAAATCTGGTGTGTTGGAGCTCACTCAGTGTGGATTAAAAAGGTCTAACATCAGTTTTAAGCCATCTGAGGTTTCTAGACAATTTGGAAGCCATGAGCAACAGTAGCCACTGAGAGTTCACAGGTCAACCAGGTGAAGGAGGCAGAAAATACATGTTGCCCAAAGAAAAGTGTGCACGTTTACGCACTAGTTTTAATAAAGCAGCACTGTCTTGAGTTCCCTTACGTCCAAATCTTCGGTGACTGTCTGAGAAGAAACTGCACTGGTAAACTGCTTTTTCTTTTAAGTAGAAAATGTCTCATTAAATTTAGTAACAGTCTTTGTGGTTATTCGACCCTCAGGTGGTGGTGACTAACACAGTTCCCCATGAAGTACAGAAGCTACAGTGTCCCAAAATCAAGACTGTGGATGTCAGCATGATATTGGCCGAAGCCATCCGCCGCATCCATAATGGAGAGTCCATGGCCTACTTGTTCCGCAACATCACCGTGGACGACTAGACAGTCAGATAGTGAGAGCTGAGGTGGGTGTGACAGTGACTGAGGGCAGGTGCACTTCTTCCCAGTGCTGTAAAAACATGCAGATGTCATGTTCCATATCTTGTGTATGTCAGGATTACATCCTAATTAATTTAAAGAAACTCTTAAGAATAACTCTTAAGTTATTTAACGTGTTATCAACAGTTGTAAAAATGTATTTCTTCTGTTAATGGGTTGTGTTGTTTCTAACCGCATTGACAAGACTGGACAAACTCTTTATATGGTGCCCAAACAAGCAGCTTTTTTTTGCACCATTTGTGGTAGTGTTTGGTAAAATGTCCTATTCTTCTTCTGGGTGTCACACAAGAAGTTTCTCAACATCTGCAACACCAGAAATTAAGGGATTTTTCTAATGCATATATCAGGGGGTCAGTTAAACAACATTATGTATTTTCCTACTTATCTTTAGTATTGTCTAGACGAGAAGAGGATGGAGGCATTTAGGTTGCTAAATGAATGGATTGAAAAACTGAAATGTGGGGTTCAGAATATTGACAAATAAAACTTGAAATGTTCACAGTGAAGTCTGTGGATTATCCTGAGTATATAAAAGATTTGAATGCCACAAATAAAATTCCACTCACTTCCACTCTATTGCACCTGTAGCAGACGCCTAAGCTTTATTATGATTTTTTTAACTTGTTATTTGGCTGAACTGACCCTTTTAAGATACTATAATTCTCTAGCAGTAGACAGAACATACCTAGACATATACCTAGGCTGATGGTGACTGTTATTGACAGTTACATCTAGTGTATGAATGACAGACCATCATAGTTTTAGCTAATTAACTACAAACCATGAATACTAAACACTGCTGGTGACTGTTTTTCAAGGCGGAGCATAGCTTTTCTTCATGTATTTGTTTTTCTAAGCAGTCAGTGGTTTTTGTTCATTTCAGTTTGCTGTGTTTGCAGGAACCTACCTTTTGTTACATTTATAATCACAGCGAAACCTCCTGCTGGGTTTTCCATTTTGTCAGCTACAGTATTATCTGGGGATGTGACCGAGCTTATGTGTTGTAGTTGTCGAGTTATTCACATTTTGCTCAAGTTGCCCCTCTGAGTTAGGATTTTGGACAGTATGGATGCATGTATGCAATTCTTTAGATCAACTAACATTGAAGTCTTGAAACTTGAGTAGTGTACCAGCGCTTGAATGTACCAGATAAGTGGACTTTGAATTGATCCATGCTTTAGATGCATTATTTTACAATGACAACTTTGACATAATCCAATATGGCAGGCTACTTCAGTTGTTTTTTTGTACGGGTGGCGGCCTGGAAGGTAGGACAGGTGCACTGGAAAGAAATGGCCAGCATTAATGTGAAATGTACGCATTTCATAGTAAATTGGCAAAAACACCAGTTTGTGATGTTGGTCTATGAATTGCTGTGTTGTCATTGGAACATGTGCATCCTTTGGTGCTTTGAGCAAAAGTGTTGCTTGAGGGAAAGTAGTGTATTTCTATGCTGATTGAGCCTTTTGCTCAGGGAAATATACTTAATAATAAGCCAATGCACAATTATTTGTTCTCGTGTTTTTGATGCTTTGTTCCTGTTTCACATGTTGAGAAAAGTTTGTCGAGAATGTCTTCCATGCAGCAGGTTTGTACTTCTTTCCGTTTTACCATTTAGTTGTGTTTGTCCTGATGGATGGGCATTTGACAGCTAGATGCACACGCTAGTGTTGTACCAAATGCTGTTGCTGTGCTGGCTAAAACTGTATCTGTCTGTAAGCGTATTTCATGATGTCTTCTCTGTATTCACTGATTTGTCTGTGACGTTGAGGGCGTGTCATTTAGAAACTTAAACCCTGCTGTCAAGCTCTATGGCATTTGTCAATGTGTGTGAAAATAAAGCAGTTTCATCCTCTTGTGCCTTGTCTCTACAAAATGAGGAATCATATTGAGCTTTGGTTATGGACTTATGGGAACAAGACTGCAGTAAAGTCAGATTTTATGAAGTTTTAATATGAATTAGGGACCTTTTTCTGTCTTAAATTATTCTCTCCTAAACCAGTCTAAATTAAATTGTATATATTTTGCATGAACTTGAAAACAGACATTTTAAATGTTAAATGCACTGAGTGGACATGCTGTACTGTATTATATGATCATATGTCTTTATTTTTGACACCCACATAATAAGAATACAGCCTAATATAAAATATAGATATAGAATATTTAAGATTTCAGAACAATTCACGGTCGAAATGTTTCATTTCAGTGCATTTGTGGATCTTTTCCTCTTCCTGTTGGCTGCTGTGAATCAAGTTGCTCTGCTTGTTGTGTCAAGCTCTCTATGCACACTGGTATCTGCAGATACTTGATAAAGTGATAAGCTGGCAATTATCAATGACAGTCAAAGGCAAAAGAAACAGTAAAATACTGAATTGGTGTATGAAAAGGCTTACCTTTAACTCTGATGTGCAGCACTACAGTAAATCTGGTTTAAAATGCAGTGTAAAACAGAATCATTCAGCTGTTTTTTAGTTGTTTGCCTGTCTTAAGCCAGTCCGTACATGAAGCACTTGATGTAGTGACAGTCAGAGATCCTATACTTGTTCAAAACTTCTCAGGTATCTGTAGAACACTGAGGAGCTTTGACCAAGTCTAGGAGCAGAGACAAACACAGAATTGTAAGCTGTCATTTGGTTTCAATAAGTCTGTGAAACAAATCTGTTGACTACATTTGTACGCGTGGTATCAAATAGTTATTTGAAAGCCTGTCTGCAAGTGATACCCGTCCTCACTACAGCCTGAACGGAAAGCACCTGAGCTTTCCAAAAAAAAAAAAAAAAGATGGTCTGATGTCTCTCTTCGTTATCCGTGTGCCACAAAGACGAGATTGCATGTCGCTGTGGACCGGCTCTGATGACCGCTGTGAGTTTAAACAGTACACAAAGAGGAACCAGAGATCTGATAATCATAGGTCACTTCCTCGTCTGATTCTGGGGAAACAATGCACCGTCTCTGAACATGTTTGGAAAGGGGAAGCATACCTTTTTCTCTCTGGGCCTTAACAGTCAGGATTTCTTGTTAACAATACATATGAAGGGCTATTAGGGAATCAAAATGAACCCAGAGGCCTGAATACTTTAATTGTGCGATTGTAAGTGCTTCAATCTGCAGCCCTACTACAACTTCCCACACTGCGGTTTCACATAGGATCCAGAAGGCCAACATTTTGCAGTGTATTGCTGAGGTTGCACTAGGATGTAGCCTGTTGATCAGAAAATGTCGTCAGCATTGGTTAACGTGGTTTTTAACTGTTTGTAATTCCGACTTAAATCTTGCCTCGCCTGCTTGGTTGGAATAAAAACCTGCAGACTCTCTTCCCTCATTAAACTGTGTTGTGGTTGTGTCTGCACTGAACAGACATAAGTCACAAGACTTGAAAAACTGCTGAAACACACTGCAAATGAGGTACATTACACAGCATACGTCCAACATTTTCAGTTGCTAATTTCACTATAAATTAACTTTTAGGGCCACATAGCCTGTGTTTTTTTTCTTTTCTTTGTGTATTGTCGCAGGCAGTGGAGACAGAAGTTGATAAGGCATTTACAGGTTGTTATGTTCCATTATAATGTCACTGTTGAAACCCTCGTTTGAAAAGACCTGCTTTCTCATATTGACCGACAGAGAGGATTCAGCAAACATTGACCACCAGAGGGCAGTGCAACACAGAACAGAGAGATCACGGCATTTATTTTGTGTGGGCGCGACACAGCAAAGCGTTAAGTCCATATCTTTATTTCACTAGGATAAAGATGCAGCTTTCCAGGGAGTGTTTGGTACATTTAGTAGAATCAACACCAATCACTTAAAATGCAGACAGGTCATCCAAGTTCTTCTTTTTCAGTCTTTTGAAAACTTACATTTCTGGTTAGACCAGCACTGTTCTCAAGAACAGATTTTGACAATTAGTCAACACAATACAGTTTTGGAGTGGAAAATACAGTCATTTAATATTACATTCAAATAACAGATGTCTCCAATTGCTGTGACAGAAGAACTAAAAATTTAAAAACTCTTTCTAAAGTTTTCTAAATACCTACTAGAAGTTTACAACGTTAGTTCCACATGTAATATTGTCATTATTTCTTTAGCGGAAGCTTCTCTTTTTAACTTAGATGAATACATTATGTATGTAAATCTGACGAATATCATAACTGCTCCATGAGACAACACTTCATTCTTGTCTCTTCTTTCATGTATCAGTCAGATCAGTAAAAATGACAAAATAACCTGAAGAGATTGATAATGAATGTGTGGAGAGTGAATGAGAAAAGCAGTGGGACTATAGGAGTATAAGTATAGGAAAATGGCTTTATTTACCTTGAAAAAAGCACTGAATAAGATCACCAGACATCACCTTGGTCTGTTATGGTAAAAAGAAAATACCATTTGAATTGAATTACAAAATAAAGTTGGTTATAAACTAAAGCTTACTCGCATAAAAAAAGAGAATGTATTAGCCAAAGACAGAAAGAGAAAGAAACACCTACAGTTTCCAATTTAAGTTCTGCTTCTATTGTTCACTTTATTCATATTATGTAAACAGTCTTTTTGCATAAATAATCATCACAAACTTATTGCACTTTTTCAAGACCATCAACGCAAATAACCTAAAAAGAAATATCACATATACATTTGACTGAAAACTGAGCTTGTAGTGGATAAAGATACATAAAGCTGCTTCTACGCTGTCACAACTTATTACATCTTTTTTTTTTTGACATTCCCAGAAAGTCGTTTTCCCCCCGTCTGTTCCACAAACACTTGTTCAACAACATTCTTTCACGTGTTGAAGGTGGTGTCCTTCTTCATTTCAGCGTCTTTTTGCTTCCAGTGTTGTTGTGGGGTTTGATGTTTTCAAGCCCGATGAGGAAATACAACTCTTAGTCTTTCATTAGAGTCTTGACACATTTAACACTGTCTCTTGGTTTGTGTCTCCGCATCACCAAAGTCCTTTCAGTCTCTTTCTCCCTGTCTCTTGTGGGCATGTCTTCATGTTTTGTTTTTTTGGTGGCGTTGCCTTCTGAGCAGCTCCACATCATTATGAGATGAGGCAGCTGTTGGTCTTGTTCAAAGGGGGTCTTTTTTTGATCTCCTTGGGGAAGGTCTCTCGTCTCCGGTACAGCACAGGACTGAGCCAACTGGGCAGGTTGGCCTGCTTGAGCAGCTCCCTGAAAGCTTCAAGCACGTTGATGTTTTCTTTGGCGGAGGACTCCAGGTAGCTTTGGTTCCAGTCCATCTCCACAGTGGACAGCACGTCCTCGCTGGACACCCGACGCTCACTTAGACGGTCTATCTTGTTGCCTATCACCACAATTGGCGTGTACTTGTCCTCTTTGACCTCCAGGATCTCCTCTCGCAGACTCTTGACCGCCTCCAGGGATTCCGGGTCATCCACGGCGTAGACCAGGGCAAAGGCATCGCTGTTCTGAATGGACAGCTTACGCATGGCAGGGAAGGAGTAGCTGCCACTGGTGTCCATGATGTTGATGGTGACTTTGACACCCCCCACCTCGTACTCCTTCCTGTGGAGCTCCTCCACTGTGCGCCGGTGCTTGGGCTCAAAGGTGTTTTTGAGGAAGCGCTGGATGAGGGCTGTCTTCCCCACTCCAGCTGCTCCCAAAAACACGAGACGCACGTCTGTCTTCTTCACTTGAAGAGACATGATGACTTTCTGCTCAAATAATCTGTCTTCTGTTTCTGCTGCTTTTCTGTAATTCTCTTCTCCTTTGCCTGCGGATCCTTGACTAAAACCAGTTTTGATGTCAGTGGTGGAGCTGGATGTGTTGAAGAGGACGATGACAGCAGATGCATGTTCAGTGTCAGGCTGCACTCTGTATTTATGTTCACACACGGTAACCTGCCCTTCCCCCTCCTGCTCCCAGCCTATCCGGAGTATCTCCCTCTCTCTGTCTCTGAACTTACAGAAGCCAATTGCAGACACTCATGCAAATCAAGCAGAGTCAGAGAGTTTATGTAAAAAAACAAAACAAAAATCAACTGAGGAAAAGACAGTTCATTGTAAAAAGAGGTTTGGAGATACACATCTTATTAGAAGTATTTCAGTTTAAACACTTATGCACAATCAATCGTGTTTGTGTTGAGTCCAGTCATTTTGTTTGAAAGACATAAATGCTCTTGCAGTCATTTTGGTAGTCATCCCAGACTGTTTTTTTTTTTTTTTTAAATATATAATCGATACCAACGTAGTCACTTTAAAGCACGATTATAAATACTTATATTACTACACTTTGCAAGAGATAGAAAATAAAATCTAATTCATTATTACAAATTATGTCTTATTGTTTCTGCACACACGTCAGGTGTTCTGTTGAAGAATTGCACAGTTTTGAACATGTTTAACAGAACGGTTTTCATTAGCATGGGTTGATTACAATAAAGGTGTAGGTTTGCTGCAATAGCCTCAGGAAGGCTGAATAACAACAACAACATAAGGTTATGGGTCCATATAGCGTTCTTTTTCTCTGGCAGAAAAGCACTGGCAGCCCACTGGGGAGAGCTGGGATGAAGTGATTGTGTGGTGAGAGATAGTAAACCTAAGGCCACTGTTTAAAAATCAAAGAATACATGTAATAATCAGAACACTCACATAAGAATGTAGCACTAGCAGAGCGCTTAACATCTTTTGACTTTATGAGCGATTCTCTGTTAAAATCAGCAGGGGGAGGTTTGCAGCTCTCTCTCTATCTCAATTCAATTTAGAGGGCTTTATAGGCACGAAAGGTGCAAGGTTGCCAAAGCATCAAAATATAATTTGTCCAAATGTATGGACAGCACACAATAACAGCTTTGGTGTCTGATTGAACAACACCCTCTCTCTCTCAGAGCTGTCCATTGTTCTGAAACAACAGCCAAGCAATAGTCACATGTATAATTTGACGTAGCGCCTTGAGGCCACATCTTAATGATCTAATATGACTTCACTCCCACAGGTGATGCAAATGAGTTTGCTCAAATATTGGTACAGAGAGTTCTGTACTCCCAAAATTTTGGTAGGGACCGTCCATAGCCTAAGGACAAACCTACACCCTTGGATAACAACCTATTTTAACAAAACAAACACATAGTACGTAGTGCATGTGTTACTGACTCTTCTATTGCGTTAAAATCATGTAATGTCTGAAAAAGAGTGTGTTCACTTCCATTGTCTTCACTGTGCTGCTAAGATTCAGATGTCCATTGTGTGGGAGGCATCATGGTTTTCACTCAGACAAAGTAGAAAAATCATATGTAAAATTACAGTAATCATTTTCATACTCGGATCTCTCACATGCTCTGTGGGCCCAGACTTTGTCACTTGTTGCTATGATACCACAGCATCCGTTACAGGTTTATGAGTAGAGATGTGCACCTTATTAGTGCTGTCAAACGTTAGTCCAACTGTTCACACTAGACAGCGGTAATGGCCAGTAACAAGGGAATAATAGGCTAATTAGGCAAATTTAAAGCACATTGCGTGTCAGCATATTTGATTGGCTTAACACAGAGTATGTTATTTAGAATAATGAACACATTTTATTGTCGCTATCTCAAAGGTTTTTCTTGTACCTCATGTACATTATATATAATATTCAACTGCAGGCCAACCAACGTTTTTTCTCTCTTGGCCTGGTCACTTTAGATTGGACCATATTTGTGCCAGGATTGTTTGTTTAAACTGATGACATACCCATGTGTGAGTATCTGTGTTTGTTATGTTAGATGTGTGTAAATCGTATTTTCTGCTGAGGAAAAAATCATTCTTCTTTTGCAGCAATGCAGCAGAGAATAAATGTATGCTCTAATCACAAAGAGGGGATTTCCTGGCCTCTTTCGCTCTGTAGAGACAAAATGGTCTGAAGCTAAAGCTCAAGGCCCCTAAGCAATTCAAATTCATTAAACGCAGGAGGAAGACAGTGCCAGCATGGGAGCGTATATATAGTATATTTAATTTTGCACAAACTGCTCATTCTTATTGGTGTAGTTTACAGGTTATTACAAATAAAATGTAGACTGAGAATGAGAGAAGCATGAATGTAATGTGTTTTTAAAGCAGCTATAATTGATTTCTTTAGGCCAGAACAATCTGTGAACACTACACTGCCATTTGGTGCTTGGCAGCCATAGACTATAGTAGTACAGTTTGTATTTAGAGAGGTTCTTTTTCTGGAAACAGCTGCCTGCTGTGGCTGAAAACAAGGCTGATGTGAGACTGAACCAAAACATTAAACTTGCAGGCCGTAATATCAGTGAGCTGAACTTGCGACTGTAAACGACAGCACGACGCAGTAAAGAATCTCTAACCCTCTGAAATGAAATGAGCGCTCATAAATAACTGTAATTGTATTCTCAAATTTGCTTTCAGAAAGCTATCGTAGGGGAAGCACTGATGTCTCTTAATGACCAATGCCAGTTCAGTTGTTTTGCATACAATCTAACTATTTAAGTTCATACACCGGAAACAAACCGAACCCTATTCTCTCTTACTATATTAATGTAGTCTCGGTGAGAGATTATCATGTCCTGATAGTTTCATGAATAAATTTTATTTATACATGTGTGTTTAGAGAGTTTTTTCAACAGCAGGCTTTATCCTGTGTTGGGCTGCTGGTCACTCTCTCTGGCTCAGAGGTGTTAGTCTGTGATGATGACTGGCTGTGTTAAAGGGAGGAACAAGCTGTTCTCAAAGCACACAGTCTTTTATTTGGTTACAGAGGAGGGAAACCTGGCACTTTGCTGATCCAGTACGATTTTTGCACACTGCTTAATGTGGATTTATTATGCTCATTTTTAGCTTTATATCTTTATTCTGGGATTCCACTAGAGTAGCTTTGCATGATTCACAGCTCATAAAAAATCTTATTTATATTATAATTGATTAGCCACTTTCCGTGAGATTTACTGAACAAACATCCAAAAACTGTAAGAGTATTCCTGAGCAGAGTAGTCACGCATAGTCAGACCTATCTCCACACTTTGCTAGCTGTGCTAGCTCTGGGAGAAAGTCTTATGAGCAGAGCTGTCGAATACTGTGACAGACTGAGAGGGTGGATGGACACATCCATGTACTTTTACTTGTGGATGTGTTGTGCCTGGAGAGACGACTGTATATGGTCATCCCTGCCTAGCTAATTAGAATAAACACGTTGGAAACCTAATATTCAGAGCTGTCTGAAGCCGGAGCCCTTTTCACATTGATTACCGTTACATAGGTTTACCTCATTATTTCAAACTTTGGCCACATTTAGTATGAACATCTGACATTGTGACAAAATATATATGATAGACGATAAGGAAAAACATAATGTCCTCTTTAAGTTACAACAGTCTTTGATATGCCATAGGAGTAGTATTATAGTTGGTGGAATGCCAATAATAACATGCAGTCGGTGGATAAGAAAGTCATATATTATGAGTACAGCATGTGTTTATTTAGCAGGGTGTGTTTGTTCGAGCTGCAGCCCGGCCTGTCAGTCACACAGTCATGTCATGTTTCATTAAGTGTGACAAGGAGAACATTTAGCCCTGTCACACTGTTGTGTGACAGCAACAGTGCCAGCGATGTGATCTCAGGACAAAAGGTCATGGGTCTATCCTTGGGAATTTGAAAGTTTACATTGCAAGCACGAACTTAGAGTACAAAACAAACAATGTCATAATAGTCATTAATATGAGAGTCTGGGACTGTTTCTTCTGTTGCATAAGTAAACAAGGATGTACTATAAGCTGTAATACAGGCTGACCTAGAAACACTGCACCATGCTGTAAAGTCTTTTGATCTTTACAGCTGAGCTAGGTGGACAATTTAGTTCTGCACTCCTGTGGAGGGTGTGATGAAGTCTGATCAGACACAGAATCTGTACACTGTGTATGCCCATGGAGTAAATGTGTTGCCTCTGTAGGCTAATCCCATTAAATTGAGATATAAAGCAGAATGGCCTGCGACCCTGTACGCAGGATAAGCGGTTGACGATGGATGGATGGATGGATGGAAAGCAGAATGGAAGTTTTTTGCTTTTGAGTGCAATTTGTTCTTATTTATCGTTCTTGCAATTATGTCTAACATCTTACAACCAGTGATCTACTTTGGCAGGTTTGGCAAGTGTGGATACACATTGGGTTTGTATTATTTCAGAATTTTAGCCTTAAGTCACAACTCCACTGCACATGTGGCTATTGTCTACTTTTGTCAGTGTCTCTCCACAGAGAGGTATATGCAAACTGAAAATTAGTCCTAATAAATCCAGAACATTTCTGTTAATGTCTCAACTTGTTCTCATATTTTTATTCAACTACTTCTTCTTCTTCTTCTTCTTCTTCTTCTTCTTGTTATTGTTATTACAGACACCTTTTTACATGCATGTCAAAAAGCACAGACCTGAAAACTCACCTCAGCCTGCTAACACCAGCCCACTCATTTCTTATCCTTCCTCTTAATCCCTCCTTTTCATTCAGTGGATTTGTGACTTTAGACGGTGCACACGCAGACCGCTCACACAAGTGTGTATTCAAACCTCCTTCCTTCTGTAGTTTGGCTACAGGTCCCCTGAAATTGTACTTTGGATCTGGAACATCATGTCCTGGATAATGACAGGTGTGGTGGTGGTGGTGGGGGCAGGAACAACAGCAGCAGTGGTAACTGGTCTCATTACACCTCGCTGCAATAGAAGGTGTTCTCTCTGTTTGAGGAACCATTAGTCATTGTGAGTTAAAAGGCTCTACCTGTGTGTGTATAGTTTAAGAAACAAACACCAGCTCTTTCACACACTTATCCAGTGTTTTGTGCCTGAATCCTTTTTTTAAATTCTCTTTTATGTATTTTTACCCAGAA